ATTCTTTTAAGAATAATGATCCTTATATTTAGTTTGTGATTCAACATGTAATAATACAAAGAACATTATAATTTGTTTTAACTTTGAATTTTATACTTGATTTCCTATCTAAAAAACAATTTGATATTCCATTTTCTATCTATTATGATGAAAAATATAATTAAACCTAGAAATATAACTTAAATTAAGAGGAATATAAAAAGAGATTAAAAATAAAATTATTTCTTGGGAATTTTTAAGGTTTAACTCTCTACTTATTGGTCTATTTAGCATTTATTTTTTAATTATAATATTTGTATCTAATAAAACCAAATATCTAACACATTTAGTCATATACTTTAATTCATACTTGAAATCCACACTTAACTATTAAATTGTAACTTAAATTATATAACCTTTCAATTGACTATTTGTTTCCTCCATTTAAATTCAATTAACACACTATAAAATATAATTATAACTCCTCTGATTTAATTATTTTACAATTGTAACTTACATCATATTTTATCCTATAAATACTCATTTTTACATCATCTTCCACCATATCTGATATTCTCAATATTTTCTTTGTTTAATTTTTGATGTTCTTGCATGGGTTAAAAGCTCAATTAAGATATCATTGTAAGAGCTTTATTATATATTTGGTTAAAACTTTTGTTTTCAATTATATTTCTTCTTTATTTTATGTACTTCTTCATTTTTTCATTGTTTTTATACTATTAAATGTATAATACATATGTATAATAATATTTTATGGCTATAAGTAAATTACTTTATTGATGGGATTCAAAAATATTGATTTCTGACCATCGTACCATAAGAAAATCAAGCTAAATAAACCATTTTCATTGTTTTACTTTATATGTTTTCTTTCTCACATATTCATGTATATTTATTTTATTTTCAAAGTATGTAATTATTTTAACAAAATAAATTTTTGTTATATTCAAACCAATTTGTAAGACATTGAAATAAATAAAATTTTATACACAAATAAAGGAATTTTTTTGTATATTTATAAGTTTACACACATATTTGGATAAATTTCAACATTTTTAGTGGTTGTTTTGATAAAGTTTGAAAAGGGGGTAAATTCAAAAAGTGGTATTTTTAAAGGGGTATTTTTTAAATTCTCCCAATATCATTCATATTTTTATCATTAACAATATTATTGTTTTATCAAAAATACTTAAAAGTACTAAAGAAAATTACTATCAAAATTGATTAATTGAACAATTAATCAACGAATAAATTCAAAAGATATGGATGTATGCTTCTATTGTATGATTTAAATAAATAAAATATAAAAATGTCATAAGCATTAATTATTTAATCTATTTTTTATAAATAATAAATAAATTAAAATAATTAAATAAATATACAACAACCCGCGCATATGCGCGGGGCATTATCTAGTTACAATTAAAAAAGAGTTTTTGTTCCAAGAAAACCATATAGTTTTTATTTCTCAAACATATCTCAAAAGTAACACAAATCTAAAAATAAACTAAAAACCTTCAAAATACATCCTAAACCCTAAAAACTTAACCATAAACCCAAAATATTAAATCTAAACCAAAAATTTTATACTATCAACAGTTAGAAATCATAGTGTGTGTTGTATTTTTGTAGTAGTATTTTTTTTAGAAAAAAAATACAAATGATGGTATTTTTTGAGCAAAAGCTTAGTTTAGTTACATCGTATTTTATGAGATTTTTAATTATTGAAATATGAATTCATCCAATTTTATGATACTTTCTCCTATACCGAGAAAGCATAAAATGTCGAGAATAACAAAATTATGGGGGTGTGATTGGTCATCTGGTTGAGGCTTAAAAGGTTGTTACTTTAAAAAAAAAAATGTTAGCAAGCAAAATTTGGCCAATAAAACTTTTACTTGCTTTTTTTTTCTTACCCCAACAGTAACTAAAATTTTGTACAAATCTATATCTATTTTATTAGTTAATTATAAACATTCTTTCTTGTCATCTTGAGATCTATTTCCTATTACTTTTTATTTTCAAATTCATATTCTCGTAGCCGCAGTTCTTACCAATCAGTTTTTTTTTTTTTTTTTTTTACAGTATAAATTTATACGGCAAAAATCTATGCAATCAAAGTTTCTACAATTAATTAAAGTGTTTACATGCAAAACTCAAAGATGGGCATATATATATTCTTGAGAGGAAAATTGTTGGAATTAAGATCAATGGATCGAAGGCAAAAATGCTTAGTTATATCATTATATGCAAAAAATATTTAGTATATTCTTTCCAATGTCAAAAATAGTTGGTGTTTATCGTCTTGGATCCGGATTTAATAAACATGCATGCTCAAACCAGTGATCAAGTTTGACTCTTGGGTTCCCAGTGAAAAGAAGCTATTTGATGCATAAGAGATATCCAAATCAAGAGATGATATGAAGACATTCCTATCTCCTAGTCCGTCTAGCGATCATATGAACAACTCCAAAACACACTACAAGATAGCGAAAAGACTTTGATCAATGAAGTAACTCAAAGGAACCATATATAGTAGACAGAACAAGATATATTATATATGGAAAGAATCAACAAAATATGTTACATTTGCTTGTACGTATACTTACCTGAAAAGATGGAGAAAATGATTCAAGCAAAAGAGATCAAAGTCAAAATCAAAGTCTAGAGACAAAGAAATAGATGTTGTACTGACAATAATTTGGAAAATGAAGTTCAGTTTTTTGAAGCATTTTTTCCCCCTTAAATACGAATTTAACGTAAAAATGAAAATTCTGTTGAATATAATTTTTCATTCATTAATATTTCTTTTTTTTTTTCAAAAACTAAGCAAATTCTGGAAAATTCCGAGTTATCATTGCAAACATAAAAAGAGCATGTACCATCTTGCATAATTATTTGAAAATGTTTCTTGAGAGATTTATATTGGTCAAATCTAAGAAGTGTAAGTGTGAAATAAATCTAGTAAGTGTAAACGTGAAGTATCAATCACTTGCAATTTATAAATTCTCTTATAAAATTCGAGCCTTGATGTAGATGTTGGCTGACACTAGAGGACAAACTTAATATGTTTCATCCTGCTCAAATGCGTTTAGCACTGAATAAATACTTTCCTTTATATATATAAAAAATGTTATCATTCTGCTAGGTGCAAATGTGAGATAATATTATTCGGAGCCACACCCAAAACAAATGTTTGTAGACTTAACATTTCGAATCACTTAGTTTTATGTATAAAAACTTTTGTAAGTGACCTCTCTTTTAGATTCGCCTAGCTGTTTTTGGTATCAGAATTCAGAATTAACGATGAGAGAGCATTTTCAGAAGTCAAGAACCGTATGCATAACGTGTACTTATGAGTACTACTATTTTTTAGAATTATCTCTGATTTTTGTTTTATATATCTCAAAAATGAGATTAAGGTTTAGCCTGATCAGCAAAATCTATTACTGTGCATGCACACTTAATCTAAGAGAGAATCATCCCCTCACTTGCTAAGTATACTGTACGTGTAATCAAACTGTAATGTAGAATTTACATAAGTGTATATTCTTTTCTTTTAACTAC